GTTCGAATGGGAGTGACTGATGGCACTCAAAGACTCACTGCTGTACCTTTCACCCACTGCAACTCCTCTCGAACCACCCAGAAAAAAGTCTGTCCTGGTTGCCTTGCCAACACTAGAATAATGTGCATTTCTGCGAGAGCTCTCGGTGAGGGAAGGCTTCAGGGCTCCGAGTTGTCTCAAGAATTGCTCAATCCTTTTTGGTTCCCTGGCCTTCGAACTTTCGAGCGATTCTGTCGATTTTTTCTGCTCCCTCTAACTGTTCCACTCGTCTGTTCCCCGACAGATAGATTTGAGGAATTCCAAAAAGGGAATGTGGCCTGACTACTGTCTTAATCATACACCCGTCAATCTGGCGCCAGTGTNCAATCAAACGAAGTCCAGTTCATGTTTTTTGTCATCCATGTGCGGGAGGTGCAAATTGATTGATCACTGAACGTTGAATGGAGTAATCGGTTCGGGTGGGAGTGACTGATGGCACTCAAAGACTCGCTGCTGTACCTTTCACTCACTACAACCCCTCTTGGACTGCCCAGAAAAAAGTTCTCTCTGGTTGCCTTGCCAACACTAGAATAATGCACATTTCTACGAGAGCTCTCGGTGAGGGAGGGTTGCAGGGCTCCATGTTGTCTCAAGAATTGCTCAATCCTTTTTGGTTCCCTGGCTATCATCAAACTTTCGAGCGATTCTGTCGATTTTTTCTGCTCCCTGTAATTGTTCCACTCGTTTGTTCCCCGACAGATAGATTTGAGGAATTCCTAAAAGGGAATGTGGCCTGACTACTCTGTCTTAATCATACACCCGTCAATCTGGCGCCAGTGTTTTGTTTTTTACAGTCTCCATCTCGTTTTACAGCCCTCGTGTTTACTGCTCATTAGTAAACACAACTTCTAGTTTTGTAAATTGCAATTTGGCTCCTCATTGAACAACTCACCTTAACTAGAACGTCCTCCAAAGAGAGATTCTTTATCATTGGATCGTATCGGGCTCGTTTGAGGTGAGAGTCCTATTTGGCTCTTTTGGAAGGGAGCGATTTCCATTGTTGGTGATGGTAGGTGTGTGCTCTAGATAGTATAGCAGTAGTACAATTTTCTCTCTTGCTCCCTTCCTCCCAACAGAAGGAACTCATATGTCAATGATGGGTATGCCTGTACGATGCTAACTCAGTACCTCTGTCCCCTCCCACTCCCTTCCTTCCATCACAGGGTCACAGTTGGGGCCCAAATTCCGATGTATTCGTTCTGTAAATCCCTCCGCGCCATTGTTTACCCTGCCACTTGCAAAAGATCCGTCACATGGTCGGTCGCGATTAATGCACCATGCAGTCACCCGATCTCAGTTAAAATAAACAAAGCCAAAAACAACCATCGTTCGCACTGTAACTCTGATAAAACCCTCCAATCTGCATGACTGACTCAGCCGATCTCATTTGTGTGTTGATATTCTTCTGAGCGGGGCGGAGCTAAGCATGAAAGCAGTCAGTCGCAGACAAAATAACGAAAAGGGAGAACGATCGTGGTGGAGAGCGTCGGTGGTGAGTCGGTCCAGAGAGAATCGCTTGGGGTATCACTGACGATAACCGGTCGTGCGTTGGACGTGTCGCCCTCCCGTGATCATTTCGAGTTCTAACGGCTGCTTCTCATTTCTCGACATCAGTACCAACATTACTTTTGAAAGGAGACGTGAATGACAATGCTTCAACAGATTCTACTGATCTCCGTGATCATCGGAACCGTTCATGTACATGAAGTGGATTGTGCTAATGAAGGTATGCGACGTTCTTCCTTCGTGATACGTTCGTTTAATGACCCTTTTTTGGCCAACAACCGGCTGTGCACTCTTCGTAACAGCAGATTCTTTGTTGTAAGGTCGTTTCAAAGTATGCTGTAGCTCTTTAAAGAATCCTAGCTTACCATACGACTTGCCCAGGATGAAATCAGTAAAGTTGGTGCACCCGTGGGGTATTGGCTGTAAGCCAAGTCCACGAAGTTTTAGGATAGGGCGTTATTGGTGGCTTCTCATAAGAAAAAATTTCTACGATAGAGCTTCTCATACCTGTTTAAAAAGTATTTAGATTTTGATGAATAATACCGTAATCGTTTGAGAACGGCTCCCCAAACTGGTTCCATCTTACTTTTTTACTTGCCTTTCTAGCTAATCGCCTTAGTTAGTCTCAATCCGTTTTCAAGCTAATCGCCTTAATCGTTCTAAACGCATAAGCATGCCTTTGAAGCGAAGAAATTCGGTGATTAATAGCGTCATTACCACGCAAAAAGTTCAAGAAGCGAAGACGGGATCGGACCCCTCGGAAGCTCTCCAGAGATTCATTTACCAAGTTCATATGTGTAAGCTGAGGGAGGGTGATGAGAAAGGTCTGTAGCACAGGTCACTGGTCTATAGCATAACCAAGCTTTCTTAGACGTTTCTTGCTCATTTCTGGGTGAAAGTCGGATGCATGGCGCACCCTATGTGGCTTGAAAAATACCGAACATTATATGCTCGTCATTAGCCTTCATATTGTTCGGTGCGTCAAGGTACTACCCAAAATTGAGTTGTCCTAGGAAGTGCCTCAAGTTATTTGTCCATTGAGCCATCGTTCTTGGTGTGCTAGCCTAGTCCACGTCCTTTTTTGATTTTACGGATGTATTTGTTTACTTATAACTACCGTACTTATTTACTGCTAATTGTAGAAGAGATGCATCCCGAATATCAAATTTTCCCTTTCATTAATAGGCGAAAGTATCGAGGGGTGATTGATCTGACTTTTTTGGACAGTCTCTGAACCATATGTGCGACCGGCCGCCGATGTTTGAAGGTCGAGACAAACAGAAAAAACGAGCGAATCGTAGGCCCCATTATTAGGCTTTGAACTACCGCCCGCAACTTCAAATCGACAAGTGCTCAAGACGTCATTTTCTCAATGGTCGGATCTTTTGCTATTATTAATAGTATTACTAATATTATTACTATCGTTTTATTGTTTAGAGGTGGTATAGCGGCAAGGGGGCATTGCCACATGGTCCAGGGCTCGAACGTCTTATCGATACTCCCCCAGGCTAATCAAGCTTTCCATCCTTCCGGCGTCGGTTAATTGGTACCGGACTCATCTAGGAGGATAAAAGCACTAACATGCGCATCGGCCGACCATTTCAAACCATTTTATAGGTCCCATACGCATTCAAATAGCCACTGCGATTCTGAGTGGAAGTCCGATGCGGGGCACAATATACCCAAATATTGACGCCAGAGACTTTGTTCTTTATCCTTCAGTATTACTTGTATTATTACTCATTATTTTGAATTATTTGTGATTTTATTGTTAATTCAAAGACACCTTATTAATTGGCAATCAACTCAATCTGTTGGATACATGAGAGATAGATTTATTTCTTGTTTAAATTTTTGAATTTTCTTCTTGTCAGCATGCAATTTTATTGTTGCGGGAATGTCTACCAGTTTTCTTGAGCTCTCCCTCCTTTTGTGATCACTTTCTCGGGTAATTGTTCAACACTTCCGGTGGCAAACAGAAAACTTTGAAGACTTTTTCGTAGCGGTCACACTCACGCAATTGTTGCCATATAGCCTTTAAAGGTTTTATAATTTTTACAAAATCATTTCGTGACGGGCATTTTTGTGCAAATGGAGGTTCGATTCTTCAAGGGCGGACATGCTGAGATCGTAAATTCACCTCTTCAAACAGGAGTCCAGTTTCAGCGTGTAAAAGCCATAAGATCCCGCCATATGAGCAGGAATTGCCCGTATTGCCCAGGGCACTAGGAGATTTATTTCTCCGAAATCATGAAAAGTTAAAGAAGCCGAGTCCATATATGGCCAGGTTCCTCTTCAGGAAGGCCATCCACTGACCCACTTTTTTAGTTCGATTACTGTGTCATGAGGAATGTTTTGTGAAATCGTCGCTTGTTCATGAATTAGGGGCAGGCTGTAACCCCCGCTGGGCAACTTCGTATGCTATGCGGATTCTAGACGCCGTCTCTTTATTATGGAAATTTCCCCGGCAGGATGTGACTGCCCGGACCCTTGCCCGATTTTCGATTGAAATTTCATTTTTCAAGTTTGTTGGCAGTTTTTGTGGCATTNATGTCAGAATGATTAGGTAGTTGCCATAGTTTGGTCCCTCCTCGGAATTCACCACGTGAGGCACTTCCAGAGTCGTAGCGTTCCTTGGGCATATTTGGTCTTTCCTTGGCCCTTAGCTTTCGAGTAAAGTTAAAGTCCTTATTTTCTGCAATGCAGACTAGACTATTGCCGGCGAATCGACCTATGGGACAAGTAACCTCGGACATCTGAACCAAGCTCATTTCTTGGTTTCCTAAGAGACCATGAAATGATGGTGCCATACAAAAATACCAACTTGACCATCGGCCGATTACTGCAATTCGTTGTCTAGGCCTCACATGCATCCAATCACCATAACGATCCTGTATGGAAGTCGAATACAGGGCTCATATCGGAAACGGGGCTGATTGACGTCAAAAGGCCTACTCTATTTGTTTATTCCGCAGGAGTCTGTCCAGATTAGGCACTGGGTAATGCTGGAGTTCGGACTTTATGGACTGTACGGATTTTCCGAGTCCGAAGTTCAAGCATTTAAACTTTTTGTAAGAAAGAGTTTCTCATAAGAGGTAAACCATGTGGTAATTGGTTGGTGGTGATTCAATTTTACTAGCAAGAAATGTCTGAGTCGGGCTTGGAAGGTACACAAGGTTCAGTGAGCAAGGGAGTCTGTTTACCCAGGCAGTTCTTCCGTGGGCTTCTATGTAACGGTCTCGTCCGAACGATCGTCATTGTCCCTAAAAAACGAACTCGTCAGCTGGAATATACTTTGTTTGTGCATAAACAAAACTTGCAAATATGGGCTCAAAAATTTACAATACAGTAAACAAGTCGTTTTCATCCGCTCAGTCCATTTGATGTGCCAGTAGCCCCTGTAACTTTGGAAAATAGCTCATTTAATGAGCCTCGGCATTCGAATTTGGTAAAACCGCACCTCCAGAATTCTTCAGATTTTACTTTTTCCGATTCCAATTGATGCTCAGAAACTTGACTTTTGTTTCTGAGTGAATTCTAGACGAAGTAACATTTCGCTGGAATGTGAGATCAATTAACTTCTTTATTCCTATAGCAACGAGAAGTTCCACATTGTATTCGTTCCGCCATTTGAGTCGTTGTTTACGTAATGATCACCTGTGCTCAGAAGAAATTGGATCCTCGTAGACAACTTTATTTTAGATACCATGAAGGTTTGGGCTGACTTTTTTTTAAATTATGGTTATGGCCGGTAGCGTGAGAATAAAAAAACCCCCCTGATGGTGTACCGACACCGACGGTTTTCATCTAGAATTGTTTGGCGTTTGAAAGGTAAAACTGGCTTGAAATATGGCTGGTGGGGTGAAAAGATAGGCGAGTTAGAACCTTTCCTGACCAGTGCTGTACCTGTTGATCGACTGTGAAGGGATGGAAGGCCCGCTTGACTGAGACGGGTACCAAGCCGGGGACTGATTCTTGGATCGAAATTATGGAATGGGTACTTCGTGATAACCTTACCTCATCATCACTTCAGAATCGACCTCTAAACGGAGGTGATCATTTCAAATCAAAATTTATCCTTTATTTTTAAAGTTTGAATGAACTCGTGAAAGATGTATGTGGATGATTAATTTCGTGAATTTCAGTGCTTAAAGCCCGTGCGTACATCTTCGAAGCAGTGAAAGGAGGCAATCCAGCTAAGACTGTAGGTGTCATAGATCTCGTCCAAACTGGGACTTTAGTCAAGGTGAGTACCGGTCTTCTTCCTACCAGCAGTGTTAGGGCATTTCACTCTTTAGATGAATGGCAGCGTATCCGGTCTACAACCAGGACTTCATGGCTTTCACATTCATGAGAAAGGCGATCTGGGCAATGGTTGTCTGGCAGCAGGCGCCCATTTCAATCCACATAAAATGATGCATGGAGCTCCTGAAGACTCGAATCGACATGTTGGTGATCTCGGAAACATCGAGACTCCGGTGAGTGGCATCTCCCTCATGCTGCTTTGTTATGCCCACATATTATTCTCCTACCTTCTTACGATATCTGTGCAACCTACTTTTGTATATTGCCGGAGTAGGCTTCAAAAGAAAGAAGGGTAGCTCGTAAGGTTTTGCTTTTTCACCTGTCCTTGTCCTCCTACTAGACCCTCTTATCAGAATATCAAATGACTACCAAGAGGATAAAGCCTGTAGCGTTAATCCATGCCCGGCCCGACTCTGGAGGGCTGATTTGGCCTAGGGCTTACATAATCCGGGTTGAACCATGAACCATGCGTGCGGTAGTGGTATAATTTGACACTATACCACCTCCATACATAAGCACTCGCCTCATCAAGATGGGACGTTCCCTTCTGGAATACGCGTGCATGCCAAGAGGAAAGCTGTTCACGTGAACTGTTCCAAACCTCTACTTTAGTAGAGAGTCATCTCTTTTCCGAGCGTGGTAGCATACCCCGCTCCCCCCTCTCCAGCGAGCCCTCGAACTGAGAGGTTCAGGATGTTTTGCGAGTATTGAAGTTTTGCAACTTGAAATTCAGATCACTCAAAGCTCATAACATAAAGGAAAAAAACCTTAGACAGTCTTTACAACGTTGCTTACGAAATACGATTCTTTGGATGGAGTTTTCTTCTGCGGCGTTGTCGATCAGAGAAAAGAAACGATTGTAAAATGCCTTTCGTAATTCAATTAAATACTCAAGTCTCTTCCATTTGTTCTGCGTGATTTCCAAGTATGAATTAATTACACAGGGGCAGTTGAAGTCGTAAAATGAACATAAAACCATCGCTCTTTGGTGCAGCAACGTCCTAGTCGTTTTTATTTGCAGTATTTTTGCCCTTTAGTTCTAGTGCTTTCTAGATTTGCAAAGTGATGTGCAGGCACGAGTTACCTCTGATCGGAAGTTGTTTTCTAGGGGGATACCGAACGGGAATAGATGGTCGTACCTATTTTGTTCACGGCGGAAGATTCTATATCGTTTGCGTGGAGCTAGCGATGAGTTGGAGATGCCCAAATGGCTATCGTCAAGTCTATGTATGGTTCAAGCGATCTCCCAATCCATCTTTCAGAAATGAATGGCTCATTTTGACGCTTGTTTGACGGACGTCGTTGTCGAAGTCGTTTGAGGCGCCACTGGAATTCATTATGATGTTTGGATGGCTATTTAGAATCCATCAAGATCAACGCCATAATGAATGACGGGATTCGAAGAGCCTGGGATGCAGTCTGCATAGGACGGTGAAAGAAAGCACCACGCTCTATTTCGCAGACCAGAATCCATGCAAAATCAACAAGCCCTGTCCTGATTGATGTGGTATCGGATCTGTCAATAACGAAAAGATCTCCCACAGAATGTCGAAAGGAAAGAAAATATGAAATGAAACGATGTAGTAGGATCTGACACCCAGACCATGCATTGGTAGTGCGCGCAGCTTCCCACTACGCCGCCTCCGCTTAATTACTGTAAAATGAATGAATAAATATCGT